GAAAATAATTTAAGACACAGATAATCTTACATTTGCTGTACAGTGAGAGCTCTCTGGTCTCTAACCAGAACCACATGAAACATTTTGTTCTTCTAAACAGCCAGCAATTACTGGTATCTGCCCACTCTTCCCCAACTAAGCCAAAAAAAGAAACTTACTGCCTCACTTGTTTAATTTGCATTTATCATTCAACAAATGCTTATGGAGTCCTTGAAACAGGCCAGGCATTCATCTAGACCTTGAGAGTACAAAGATGTAAATATAACACAAAATTTCTTACTCTCAAGAAGATTAAATTCTAGTGATGGATATGAACAAGTAAGCAAAGTGTTCTGATACTCCATGCTGTAACAGAGACATGGAATAGCATCTTTTGGGAAACAGAGGAGGAAGCCAAAGCAAAAGAAGGTATCAGTTTGGGAGAGGTAGCAAGTGAACCATGGAAAAGGCCAAGAAATTGTCCAACTGGGAAGGAAAGGGTGAGGGCAATCCTGAGTTAAGAACTGGAAGGTGCTGATGGGAATCAACAGGAAGACTGGAAGAGTACTCAATAGAGTCCTCGTGAATCTGGGTGAATTATTTGTTGCTTTGAATCTTCACACACTTTCTCCCATGTTATGTTCCTCTTAAAAGTGCTTTAATCGTGACTGTGAGCCCACATCCAAAACATTCTTCCATGTCCCTGCTAGATACATAATTCTACCTCTAGCCAAGAGCCTAGCGTTCCAGAAACTTAAGCCACGGTATAGAAATCCAAATTCAACTCATCAACACCATCTGCGTAACCAGCTGTTCACCTCCTATATTTCCTTCTTTTTTTTTCAGGTACCACACAGGCATAGGAAAGAAAGAAATTAAGAATGAAAATCTTTGTACATTGAATTCCTGCATTTCTTAACCCCAGTGTCATCCCCTAATGTTCTCTGACAGTGTTGTTTCTGTTACCTGGAGAAGCAGGTTGTATTGCCTTGGGGAAGAATTTAGGTATTTGTTAACTTTTAGCAGTGTCTTCATACCAAGATCCTAAAAGCACAGGCCAGAAAACCAGCACGTGTCTGGTGATTTGCTGGGATGTTCACATGCAGCAAGCTCCACAGCTATTGGCAGCCCTCACCGGCCACGTCTTCTTGGAGGCACAGTTTCTCAGAGCCAGGCTCCCCCTTTGTCCCGTGCTTTTTATCCAGAGGATTTGGCTTCCTGCTCCCCCATTCATCCTTTATTCATTCACAAACATTTACATAATGCCTAATACGTACTCAGTAGGCAACTGTCAAAACACAGTAAGCATATCTTTCAAGTATTGTCAATTATCTGAAGGTTTGGTTTTTTTCTTTTTCTCCCCTCAGTCACTGAAGGTGATAAAACTGTATACCTTATCAAGCACTTGTAAGGACTAAATGAAATACTACAAGTCAAAGACTTAAAACATGGACTGGCACATAGTAAGTACTCATTATCTATTTGGTATCAATATTATTATTGTTATGTGAAAAACAGGATTAATGCATAAACCATAAATATTATGACCCAAAACAATGCTTTTATGAATATAACTGATTCCAAGTATTTTTACATAACTGTGCCTCTTCTCTATTGGCCACATACACAATTAGATGATTATCCAGTAAATTAGATTGGTATTACAACTTTCCTGAATGACACAATTTTTTAAACTGTAGTTTATTAAAACAAAATCTTGTTGCCCTTTGATTATGTCCACTCATCATTTCAGTCAACCATTGTGTGTAACAAAGTATGATTTGTTGCTCTGTTGGTGATTTACGGTTTTAAACTTGATGTTTATTATTCAGTGTAAACACAAAGAAGGCACAACCATAAAATAGGGAATATGTCATTTAATTAGATAAATCCTAAAATTAACCTAAAAATAATCAAACTATGTTGCTGAGAGTACTCTGAATGACAGTGTTGAGTCCGAGTCTATGACCAGGGCCAAGCAGGCACCCTGAAGGATGAAGAAGTTAAGCACTTCATCACTCTGTAGCTTTCTGCATCTGATCCAGAATATCCTGTCTTCAAAGCAGCCTGGTGTAATGCATTTTGTGCATAATGGCTATTTGTTCCTTCTATTGTCCTAGATAATTGCTATAAAATATCTGTGGTTCTTTATGGTCCTCTGAAAAGTGCACATATTTTTTCTTACTGCTATTTTTGATCTATGATTTCCACAAATTTGGGGAAAAAAACCAAATATGATTAAAAATATTCCTTGAAGACTGAACTTATGGGTCAGAGGAGTTTACTTCCCTCACCCCCAAGACAAGCTCCAAAGGCTTCCTTTCATTGTTTTATCTTGAAAAAAAAAAGTCTAGGGAATTTGGATACTGGAGAAGATATTGCAATATGAAAATCTATAAGCATTTTATAGTTTATGTATTTGAGTTATCCTTGAAAGAGTCTATCACCTGTGGAAAGGAGGTTTTGCTAGGAGGGTCATGGGATCCTTTAATATGCTATGGGACAAACTGGTTACTGTTTCTCTGTTACCCAGAGGCCCTAAGCAATCAGGAATACTGGAGCAGGATTTCTGCCCCTAGTAACATATCTCTAATGCATTTTATTTAATTTAAAATGTCATTAACGTCATAAACTGAGATTCAAAACTTTCTGGCAAACTAACTGAGGGGGATTGGAAAAGTGAAATTACATAAGGGTTTGCAGTTTTGTTTAAGAATGTGGGCAGTGTGAGCAAATGCCCCAATGACAGGAGAGAGACGGTGTCTCTATTGACTGGAGTCAGAGGCCTATGGAGTGAAAGGCTGCAGCAGAAACTGAAGACACTGTTTTCAAGAAGGACTGTCAGAGAGTAGAAGTACAGGAAGCAGTACTTAACCCCTAAGCAAGATGTGAAGAGCCTTCTACTCATTTCTGCCTGGAGCACACATCTAATACATCAAGGTCTTCACACATCGGTATTTTCCAGGTAGGCACCAACGATAGCCATGATTCACCTTCACATGTCTTATTAAATTAGGCAAAAGTCATCATTGTGGAGCTAATGAGTGATAGAAGGTATTATGAGATGAACTGTTTCCTCCCAAAATTCATATGCCCTAACTCCCAGTACCTCAGAATGTGACCATATTTAGAAATAGGGTCTTTGAAGAGGTGGTTAAATGAAAATGAGTTCATTAGGGTGGGCCATAATCCAGTCTGACTGATGTCCCTGTAAGAAGAGGAAATGCAGACATACAAAAGAGACACCACGCACAGAGGAAAGACCTTGTGAGGACACAGCAAGCAGGTGTCCATCTGCAAGTCAAGGAGAGAGAAGAAACCAAACCTGCCAACACTTTGATCTTAGACTTCTAGCTTCCTGGACTGTGAGAAAACAAATCTATGTTGTTTAAGCCACTCTGTCAGTGATATTTATATGGCAGCTCCAGAAAAGTAATACAGCAGGAAATCAAAGTGTAGACACTGTGACTATAGTTGACAGATTGGTTTAGAAACACACATAAAGCAAACCTTGGGAGCATTTAGACAAAAGTGAGAGAGAACTGAGGCCCAGGAATTCCTGGACTGAAGGATAAATGGGAGAATGCCAAGGACATTTAGATTATTACAGTTGACCCCTGAGTAACACAGTTTTGAACTGCATGAGTCCACTTATATGTGGATTTTTTAAAAATAAATACCGTAGTACTATGTGATCTGTGGTTGTGTGAATCCGTGGATATGGAACCATGGATACGGACAGCCAACTCTGGGACGTGAGCATCTGTGGATTTTGGTATCCTTGGTGGTTCCTGGAACCAATCTCCCAAGGATACCTAAGGATGACTGCATTTTGAATGTAATATATGCAATTTATAAATATAGCTATTAACATGTTTTGAACTTTGAAGAAGCACATAACATAGGGGTTAAAACCACAGACTCTAGAGACAGACTTCTTAAGTTTCAATCCTCATTTTGTACATGATTCTTGGTTAGTTAGTTAACATTTCTATGTCTCAGTTTCTCCATCAATGGCTATAACAAGGCCAATCTCACAGAGGTTTTGTAGGGATTAAATGAATTGATAAAGTATTAAACTGTGGCAGGAATACAATGATGTATGTTAAGTGTTAGTTGCCATTATTTTTATAATTATCATCATTATGGGCAGACACTAGTCAAAGTGTTGAATCAGTCTTGACAGTAATGCTTAGATGACTGAAACATGGTGAGGTAAATTTAATTACTCAAGGTGATCGTTAGTTAAATGGTAGACCCAGGATCTGACATTAAAGATTATAGACCCATAGATTATTGTGCTCCACAGAAACAAAGCCTTTATTTACAAAGCATTACAAATTGCCAAACAGATCACTTAACAGGGGTATCTATGTTTACAACATTTATATTAATCCAAGTGACTTCTCCAAATGACAAATTTACAAATTAGAAAAAATATTAATTTATTTTATTACTGTAGTCTGAGTGGAAATGGTATTGTTTAAACAGTATTTTGGAGAGGTAAGTTTCTCTTTTGTCCTAAAGACGTAGTATCTATTAGTAACAAGTAATTAATGGAAACATCCAATGAGAAACATTTAATTAAGGTAAATAGAAGTAAACATCATTTAAAATATATTCAGATTGCTTTACCATATGCATTCTTAAATATTTTATATTTTTGATTCTTAAAAATTTATTTGAGTAGATATATCTGAATTCCAGATTGAACAATGCATTCTAAAAAAATACTGATTGCATTGTTCCCATTTACAAGTTCTTTAATTTACAAACAAGTTGTTACATTTGATGGAAGAAGGTATTTTATATTTCATTTGGTGTGCATATGATTGGGCTGAGAAATATTTCTTCGCTTTCTTTAAGTACAAAATTATAGGTGCAAAGTGGTAGTCTGTGAAAGAGAATAAAAGAAAGAGAAAAAAACTATTAATAAAACAGCAAAGTTTACTTACTTCTCATAAATATTGGAATATACTATACCTATAACTAACTAGTTCTCCAAATGCAAGGAGGTGAAACAAACCTATAGGATCATTTCTACTCCGTCTCATCTAGCTACATAGGAATGAATAGACACAATAATTGAAAAAGAAAAAATTCTCTGCGTTTCAAAATCCTTTCTCCTTGCTGCTACACTGGAATACTTATATTGAATGGGAAATACTTTGGGATGCTGAAATAACTGAAAACGAAATTCAGCTCTTAGTGGCCAACCTACTTCTTCTAAGGTGATACCCACCAAGAAAGAGTTAGGCTGAACCACACAGACAAATTTTGTGAAATTATTTAATCAATCCTTTGCCACCTGCTAAAATGGAAATAATAATGTTTAAAGTATTCTACATCTTGGAGAGATGGTATATTTAGTATTTAAAGATTTCTGAGAAGTCAAGTCACTGTGGTGAATCAGACATCTCGTCTAATAATTTATCTTCCTGTTAGTGTCTTGAAAATCTTCAAAAAAGTAATCAAATAGAAAAAGCAAAGATTGGTCAAAGTTCAGGAATGGAGCTAAAGAAAAAAATGATAGTAATAAATGGAAATTTCCTTGTATCAATCATACTAGCTTAGTCAAGGAAAGAGGGTAATTCAGTTGCACAGGTGCTGTTAGATCACCCTTGTCTAACACATGCCCTGCTCTAGATCATGAGATGCATTGCTCCCCATCTCCTTCTAGCATGATTAAGACATCTTGGAATACATTTTTAAAGTATTCAACAGTATTGTTAGGTTAAACTATTCCATTTTTAAATAAATCAATTTCCTATGTCTGCTAATGGGTTGGAAAGTGAAAATATAGACATTTTCATCTTTAATTATAAAAGCTGATATAGGAGACTACAGTATTTTCCATTTGAAATAATACAGGCATCTTAGAATTTTAAGTTTAATACTATAAAAATAAATGTGAAATGACATTACCTCAGTCTTGTAAGATTTTTAGATATTAGCAAAAGTAGCTTTTTGTTAAATCATCAGAGATCAGAATGTAATTTAAAAAATCAGACATAATTCTTTCTCCATTTTTAAGAAACAAGTGGAAGAATGATTTTACCACTTCCCCTAACAAATATGTATATACTTCTGTCCACTTTTTATCTAGCCTGCTGCAGCCCTTATTCACTGAGTATGCCTTCAATGCCGGATCTCCCTGATCCACCACACTTTTAACTTGTCATGGTAGGACAAGGGTGTCATTAGGCTTATTCATATATTACTTCAGTCACTAAGTAACAGTCCTGTTCACACATTTATAACACAATATTAAGACAAGTGTGTTTTTATTTCTTTTCCACAATAAAATAAAAGCTCACAACCCTGTTACTATTGAAATATGTTCAAAATAGTAAATGCATATTTTTTATAAATATTCCACATTTTACAAAGCCTCTGCAGTCATTACAAAACAGTTTAGGCAGGTTCATTACACCTAACAAAGTTAAATTTTATCAAAACTATGAGAAAAGTTAATTTTCTTTGTTTTTACAGTGTGAAAAGCCTATCTAATTCCATTACCAGGACTCTAATTTTGAGATCATTTATTCTATTTTATTAATAGTTCCTTCTCCCCAAGATAAAGTTAAACTCTACAGTTTAGAAAAATGTGTGATAAATGTTGGACTATCATAGAAGAATAATATTTATTTTTAATTTTAAAAAAGAACACTGAATATTATATTTCTAATTCTTTGTTTAACTCAAATTAGCAGACATGAACACAGAACACTGATAAAGTACAAACTTTAATAAAAATAATAAAAGAAATCCAAGTATTAAAAATCACTCTAAAATTCAAATACAATTAGTTTTTAATTTTAATTTGTATACATCTTACAAAATTACAAGAAATATATATATCCTTCTTTATTTGAAAAAGCTCCCTAGGTCTTTTGTACAACATATCACCACATCTATGCATCTAGTATTCTTTAAAAAGTTACTTAGAATAAGGTTCCCACCACTGACAAAGGTGCCTGTCCCATCTACCAGATTAGAAAAACCAGTAATTCACAGGTCATTGGGTAAAACTCATGGAATGGTCTTGCCTCAGTAATGGGAGTAATTAACTCTAATCCTAGCACTACTCCAGACCTGCCTAAAAAACCTTGAAAGCAAGAGCTGAAAGAATCAACCTGTTTATAAGTAACTTAATAGAATCTGGAGAATAAACCTGAAGAATATTTATAAAAATACAGAAGTATGGGTTCCCAGTGTGATAAAGTACACGTCTGTCATCTAATCAAGAATTTCCAAGCATGCAAAGAAGCAGGGAAATAGATCCTTATGAGGGTAAATCAATTGAAACCAACCCAGAACTAGCACAGATGTGAGAATCAGCAGGGGATATTAAAGAATTATTGTAACTGTATTCCGTGCGTCCAAATAGTCAAGTAAAGACATGAGAGATATTAAACGATTCAAATCAAACTTCCAGAGGTAAAAACTACAGTATCTGAGATGAAAAATACCCTGGATAGGGTAAATATCAGCTTAGACATTACAGAAGAAAAGAATAGTGAACCTGAAGACATAGCAACAGAAAAGATTCAGAACAAAATTCAGGGAGAAAATGAAATTTAAAAATTCACAGAGCATCAGTGAACTCTGGGACTACTTCCAGCAGCCTAATTAACTTGAAATTAGAGTCCTCAAAGGAGGAGGAGAGAGAAGGGACACAGAAAAAAATATTTCAAAAAAAGTTCCAAATTTAGATAAAATTTGATAAAATCTATAAACCCATAAGTTCAAGAAGGCCAACAGACACTAAACACAAGAAGTATGAAAAAATTTTCAAGTCACATCATAATCAAACTGCTTAAAATCAGTGATAAGGAGAAAATCTTAAAACCAGAGAAAAGAGGCTTATTTTCTTCATAGGAACAAAGGTAGAATAGTAATGGATTTATTATTAAGATCAGTACATAATATAAGACAGTACAGCAACATCTTTAAAGTACTGAAAGTAAGAAAACAAAAGTCAAACTAGAAGTTTTTTACCCAGAAAAATTATCTTTCAAAATAAAGACATCATAAATACATTTTCAGACACATATAAAAGTTGAAAGAATTCACAACCATCATACCCACACTACAGAAAAATCTTAAAGGAACTCCTTTAGTCATAAGGTAAATTATACTATTATATCATTACAATTACAGATGAAAATACACATCTACATAAGGGTTAGAAGTACACTGGAAATGGTAATTATGTTGATAAACATAAGACTTTTCCTAATTATTTATCTCTTTAATAGACTGATATCTCTTTAAATTAAAATTACACACTGTATTATAGAGTTTTTAGCATATGTACAAGTAAAATGTATGCCAACAAAAGCACAAAAGAGAAATGGGATTATACAACTGTAAGGTGCTCATTTTACATATGAAGTGGTAAAATTCACTTGAAGGTAGACTATAATAAAATAAAGATTATAATATAAACCCCAAAGAAACCACTAAAATAATCAAAGAGTTATAAATAATAAACCCACAAAGGAGATCTAATGGAATCATAAGAGTCATCAGTTTATCCAAAATAAGGCATACAACTAAAAATAGAACTACCAAATGACCAAGCAATTCCAATCCTGGGTATATATCTGGGGAAAAAAACATTAATTGGAAAAGATACATGCACTCTAATGTTCATAGCAGCATTATTTACAGTTGCCAAGGTATGGAGGCAACCTAAGTGTCCATCAATAGATTAATGGATAAAGAAGAGGTGAGATATAGAGAGAGAGATATATGTAATGGAATACTACTCAGCCATAAAAAAGGATGAAAATTAGCAATTTACAGCAATATGGATGGACTTGGAGGGCATTATGTTGAGTGAACTAAGTCAAGCAGAGAAAGACCAATGCTATATGATATTACTTATATGCAGAATCTTTAAAAAAAACTACAAACTAGTGAATAAAAAAAAAAAGAAGCAGACTCACAGATACAGAAAATAAAATAGTGGTTACCAATAGTGAGAAGGGAAGGGGAAGGGACAATGTAGGAGTAAGGGAAGGAAAGGGTTATTATAGGATTATTTAAATAATGTGTATGACATTTTTGAAAATTATAAAGCACTATAGAATTTAAAGACTCTTTCATTCAATTAAAAACTAAAATTAAAAGATTACTCTAACACCTAAAAAAAAGAAGGCAATGAGAAAAATGAACAAAGTACAGACAGGGCAAATAGAAAATGAAATAGAAAGATGACAGATTTAAACCCAACCATATCTATAATTACATTAAATTTAAAGATTTAAATACTCTCAGTTAAATGTCAGAGGTCATCAACATCATTTGTCATTTGAGAAATGCAAATTAAAAACACCGTGAACTACCTCTCCACAACTATTAGAATAGCAAAATTAAAAAAACAACAATATAACTGGTGAAGTTGCAGTTTTTGGTGCAGGAGAGCAATGGAACACTGTAAGTGCTAGTGCGAATGCAAAATATACAGTCACTTTGGAAAAGTCTGGCAGTTTGTTATAAAGTTAAACACACAATATGACCCAGCATTCTCTCTTCTAGGTGTTTATCCAAGAGAAATGAAAACGTATGTTCACATAAAAGCCTGCAGGCAAATATTTAGGTTGGCTTTAGTCATGGACAGATGCCAAAAACTATGAACAAATTACATTTCCTCCAACTGGTGAATGAATAAAGGAACTGTGGTATATCCATACAATGAAATACCATTCATCAATAACATTCCACTGATATAAGTAAAAACATGGATGAATTTTAAATGTATGAAGCTAAATGAAAGAAGCCATACTTAAAAGGCAACATGCTATATGATTCCATTTATATAATGTTCTGGAAAAGGCAAAGCTAGGTGTAGAGGTTGCCAGGAGTAGGAATGGGGACCTGGGTTGA